AGTTTTCACAATGAGCACAGTTTTCCGGTTTGGTTTTTTGACTGATTCTGATTCTTCATCACCGGGGTCATGTATAGGGATTATAAAATTGAACCAAAATGTTGTGCTCAGCATGAATTTGACTAAAATATGTGTAACTTCACCAACACAATTGAAGTCTCAAAACTGGATGCTCAGTAACTTTGAGTGACTATAATCCCTTGATTACCCAGATAAACACTAATTCACTTATCAAGAAATACCATTCAATGTCTATACAAAGAAAGTAAGCAATGTTTTGGAGGATTTGTTTCAAACTTTTTGTATAAATAATTCATTTAATATTTGCCATTGATTTTTTTTCAATTCTGAAAAAGTGATATGCACTGTCTTTGATGCCAATATTCTTCATCAATTGTGATACAAATTGATATTTTTGTAATCTCATAAGAAGGATAAGATATTGAAGTTTAATAATATGTGTGATTGAGTTGGTTTTTCAGACATTACAATTTTCAATATTTTCTAAGTCAATACCCAGACTCATTCCCAGACTCATCCTTTTATAGAGTAAACACCAAGAACAGTAATTCCAAGAGCTTTGAAATCTTCAGAGGACATAAGCTGCATATACAGCAACTACCAAAAGTTATTTGAAAGTTCTACTTCAACAAAGTGTCTAGTATTTACAGAAAAATTTGACTTTTTGACGTCAAAATCCACAATTTCTCGGAAACGGGGCGAACTTGGGAAATGGCGATGATAGGTCAAATAGGCATTATGGATATGCATAAAATGAATGTGGATATGACGCAATCCGAATAGCAGTTTTAATTTGTGCGGCCAATGTTGACGGACAGACAGACGGACGGATGGACCAACGGACGGATGGATGCCTGGTCGACCTTATCGAAACTGTTAATAGTACCCCACACACATTTTGGTTGCCTACTTCCATGCGCTAAGGTTTTCAAAATTGGCAAAGCCCCTGACAGTTGAAGACTGACGTACGATCGGACTGTCGAACAGACAGCTTCTTAATATAATAATAAATACAATTTTACATTGTAAAGAGCTCCCAGAATTTTTTTTGTTTTTCACCTCCCGCCCCCCCCCCCTCAGATTAAACCCTCATCAAACCATGAAATATATACCAGTAATTAACTTTGAATGGCCTAAGACTAAGCTTACTACATAAAAAAGCATAATTGTATTAAATCTATTCATTATTTTTATTGTTTGGTTTCAGTGTAATGTTCACACTGTTCTTACAAATAGACAATACCAGATCTAATGTCATTCAACCAACCCTAATGAAGATTTGCAATTTGTGGAAACAACTAGATGAATTTGGATTTCACTTATATCCTGTCATAGCCCTAAAATGTATTTTGCTGGAACATTATTCTTTCAACACTGATACAAAATTCCCTGACATTTCCCTGACACATCTACTGTTTCAAAATTCCCTGACATTTTTGGCCCTTTTTGACCCAATTTTAAAATTCCCTGACATTTCCAGCACCTGGAAAAATAAATCAATTTCCCTGACATTTCCAGGTGTGTACGAACCCTGTATATCTAACAAGGGTTCTAAAACTTCTTCAAAAGTAGAATAGTTTGAAAGTAGTTTTGAAGGTATCAATTTGCGATGACGGAAACTATGCTGAAAACAATGGATAGCATGGGACATGTGGTTCAACGCATTTCAAATGCCATCCCCCTTTTATTAATTGTTGATATAAAATGAAGTGCCAAGGTGGGATCCTAATCCATAATTTTCCAGAAAGCTGGATAGATATTTTACAATCATGGGGACTTCACTTGAAAGAAAACACATTGTTTTAATAATAAACACTGTATTTATGGCCAGGAAGTACTCATGGTGAAAGACATATTAATGCAGTTTAAAGTCTTAATCTCTAAAATGTTCAAATGAAAAAATAAGAATATTTTTCTCAATGTGACAATATTCAGTGCTGTATGTGTATACATACATGAAGGCATTTTTCAAAATGGCTATTATTTAAAACTCAATAGTTTGAAAACTATTATTTTTAAGGCTCATAATCCAATTAGCTAAATGCGAGTAGTAACAATCTTTATTTTTGTCATCAAAAATTCAAAATTCAGTCTAACTGTTGTCGAATTTGGAATCTTAATGAAAAATTGCATCTAGAAGTGTGGTTTTGAAAAGAGTCCATCAACTTTAAAATTGAATTTTCTTCGAAATGTGACATTTAGGTCAGGGAAATTCCCCATAGTCCCCATGTTGTAAAACACAAAAAGTGAAATATTTTTCCTTGTGCTGTGCAGATAATATTTTCTTTTACTGGAGATATTTTAATTTGTACAACTATCAGATACAAAATAGTAATATGAAATTTGAACCACTAAAGATTAAGAATATTCAAGTTTAAGGGAACTTTGTAATACCCTGCAATGTTATTTCACCCGAATTAGCCACCTGGTGGGGAAATGGTAACTACCTACTCGCATCTGAGTAATTAAATAGGTTTTACATGTCTAAAAATGAAGATTTTGTAGCCAGTTTTATGAAATATTATGCCCAGAAGCAAAGAAACTTTTAGCAAAGATACAATTTTTGTTAGCAACGATACAATCTTAGTTAGCAAAGGTACAATCTTTGTTAGCAAAGATATAATCTTTGTTATATTTTCAGCTGCGTATATTTCCAATATAAAGTGAAAGCTATTATCTCACAAGAACTAATGAAATTGATTCTCCTATCCCATAAATATAAAATGTTGACACCAATGGTATCAGTGTAGCATGCACTGATGTGAAGATATCATGATTGTTATATTTCTGGTGGCCATTTTTAGAAACACATAATTTCAAATAAAGTGAAAATTCTTATTTTGAAAGACTCCAAACCTATTTAAATGGATTCTACAACCCGATTAATGTATACTTTGACACCATTCTTATCATTGTAGCATGCTTAGGAGCGAAGATACCTTCTTTGTTATATTTCTGGCAGCCATTTTGAAAATGCATATATTTTGAATATAAAGTGCAAAGGCCGAATTTACAAGACTCGAAACCTAATTAAATAGATTCTACAACTACATTAATGTATTTTTGACACCACTCTTATAACTGTAGCATGCACATAAGCAAAACTATTGTATTTTTGGCGGCCATTTTGAAAAATGTATATATTTCCAATAAAAAGCGCCATCTAGCTTGTGTCTTTGGATAAATTTGTTTCTATTGCCCTAAGGTATTTCCATGCCAAAGGGGACATTTGTAAGATAAGATATCTTAATTTGTAAGTATTCGTAAGGTAAGATATCTTCTTTGTTATATTTCTGGCAGCCATTTTGAAAAACGCGTATATTTTGAATATAAAGTGGAAGTTCTTAATTGTCAAGACTCAACATCTAATAAAATAGATTCTTCAACTACATCACTGTATTTTTGACTAATCTTATAAATGTAGCATGCACAGAAGCAAAGGTATTGTCTCTGGTGTATTTTTGGCGGCCATTTTGAAAAATGCGTATATTTCCAATATAAAGCGCCATCTAGCTTGTGTCTTTAGATAAATTTATTTCTATTGCCCTAAGGTACTTCCATGCCAAATGGGACATTTGCATCATACAATGAAGTCCAAATGTAGTTAACCCATCTACTAATAATCTAATACTAGATAAGGCTGTAAAGCTTCTCTGTTTAGTAGATGCTTTGGGTGCGATCTTAAAGTTATTTCTACGTCGTAGTTTTTGGTCATTTACTTGATTCCTATGCTGTTCAAAAACATCTAGTAGTTACAGAGTTAATGTGTTCTTCAAAGCTTAGGTGTTTGTGTCTAAAATGATGCCTAAATGTTCATGGCTATTTACTAGAGATAACTGCCCATTATTTTTTGTTCATTTTTACTTTTCGAGTGTGTTTGGATTGGAAGATAACCTCTTTACTCTTAGATGCGTTAAATTTGAGTTTCCATTTAATGGATCAATTAACCATTTCATTGATATTATCGAATTGAATTTTTTGATTTGTTACATTAACCGTTTCATTCTTTTGTACTGTCATGAAAATGGAACAGTCATCAGCGTTTAAGAAAAGTTGACAATTATTAACAGAGTCTGCTAAGTCGTATATATATATATAGCAGACGTAAAATGGGGCCAAGAATTGAGCCTTGGGGATCCCCACTGTTTATTTCATACGATTTAGAGCATTGATTTTGAAAATTTTGAGATATATATGTACCGGCATTTCATGAAATGTCTGAATAGGTATCATCGATCCTTACTTTTTATTTTCTGTCTGTTCGATATGAGGTCAGCAACTCTATAATACTATTACCTAATTCATAGGATTTTATGGAGCAACGTAAAATGTTGGACTGCGTCAAATGCACCTTCCACGTCTAAGAAGATTCCAAGGTTTACGAGTTTAGAGTCAAAGTTCTCGGCTGACATATTTACAATAGAAAATAGTTGCTTCTCTGTATCGTGACCTTATCTTAATTGCTTCATTTCATTCACGAGTTCACCGTTTCGTTCATTGAGTTTACTTCTTGAGTCGACCAATTCCGTATTAACACGTGGACTAGCATCGAGTTTTTTAAAATGTTGAAATCGTTTATTTGGAGATATTACGAACAAAACTGAAATGTTCGGTTGTTCAACGACTAAAGTATCTGTCGCTGGCAAGTGAAATCAGTTTCAAGAGTTTAAGATTTAAAAAGTTATGACAACTTTTGTCATTTTTCACGTCTTTGTAAATGTAAACAAAGGAGGTTGGGGCCTTAAGGCTTTTTTATTATTCTATCGACAGAGATGTGTTTGGTGTCTATGGAAAGTAGAATCAATTCCCCAGAGCATGTGCCGTTCGAACTTGCTGTGAAACATAATCTCAAATTCCGTAGGACAAGGTCACCATTTTTCGTGAAATGGTATGATTTATTCCTTAATAATGTCAATGCGACCACTAATACGGAACGGTCTAAACGAGACCGTGTTTATTGGTACCATTTTCAATGTTAGGTTCCCAACATTGGATGACAGAAGCAACCTCCCATACGTTGATGCTTTCGTCTTGGAGACCCTGCGCTACACCTCAAGCCTCCCGTTTGCATTGCCACATAAAGCTACAATTGATACAACATTAGGAGGGTATTTTATTCCAAAGGATACCCAGGTACGAGGGTAATCAGGCTATCATTGCAGTTCAAAATGTATAGCCAACAAAGTATAGAGAAGGGTAGGGGTTCTTTAAGAATTGTCAACGTTTTAATTATTTTAAGGAAAGGCCAGTTGTGATTTGACCAAATCATTAGGATTCAATCTGACTTTACATCGTTGAGAGGAAACACCAAGTAATATCAAAATTGATTGGTGACATTTCGAGAATGTTGATGATTCAGCACTTTTATCATTTCCAAATGTGAAATTCAATGGTTCATGTGTAGGTGGAGCATTATCCAAATTTTCATATCATCTTATACACGATGAATGATTAGAAGGTTAAAGATCTTAATTTACAAGAAATGCATTTAATAGATAGAAATTTGGACATTTGCGTTCATTTCTGTTTGACAAACTCATTGTTGTAGCTTCAGATAGGTCATACATCCATAAATCACTACTTGTACTATATCAGATATTATTGTTATAACCATGCACATGCCAGGGCTGTTAAAGTTAAAGGAAAAAATAAATGAATGATCGGGAGAATCAACAGACAATTTATAAGTCAGATGACAAACTTTAAAGAATATTCCTTCATTCCATTAAATAAGTTCATAGTCTGGTAATATTAAATCTATTTATTAGTGTTCATTGTCCCTTTTTAAAAATTTTATTTGACGCTGTTAGGGTTTAATGACGTAATAGTAGATTTACCTGTATTCATTTTAACTGTTTTCAATTTAAAGGAGGAGGGAAATTAGCGCAACAGATTTTGCTGAAGTTAATTTATGTTTTATCCGTACCTATTGTTGACTTTCAATTAACCAATCAGAATTGAGTATTCTAACTAAGGTAATAACAATACAATCGTGTGCTCCATAGATATGCTAAGCTAATAATAAATAGATGAAGATATCTTATTGAAACTTTGGGAATTGGGATCTAGTTCACTCAGTCTCCTGTAAGGATAAAATGTGCCGAATCAGCACTTTATCAATTTAGCACTTTTTTAGTCATATAACGCCACCAATCATGTTTTATGTTTTGGAGTTCCATGCAAGGATCTGAAGTCAGAATGAATGATAGTGACTTGCTCCAGTTTAGGCTTAACTCTTTTTATCGCGCTCTATGATTAGGTTTGGATGAATTTGTTTGGACTTCACCACGATGCTCGACACTTTGCTGATCCATGGGTGTTCAAACCAGAACGTTTCCTTGACGAGAATGGTGAAGTTATTCCAGTTGATCAACGGAAGATGTGAGATATTATACGCTCGTGTATAATTGTACTTATCATTACAGTGCCCACCATAAATAAATGACACCTGGATTTGCTGAAGTGAGGATTTCCCATGTTAAAAAGAAGAGAATTTTCAAGAGGCTATTCATCAGTGGATGATCATGAGAGTATACAAAATGTAACATATACACAACTTAAGGGATGTGTATCTAGCCATTATTGGAAAGTATGAAGTCTCAAATCACCATTTCCAGACCATGGTGATAGAAAATCCATGTGTCATTTATTTATGATGAGCAGTTTAAATACACTCGGTTAGCTTAGGTAGCCCACATCAATACGAGGCCGTAGAAAAGTAAAAGTAAACATTATCTGTTATAGGCTGATGCCATTTGGAGCAGGAAGACGTGTTTGTATCGGTGAACAGTTAGCACGTGCAAGATTGTTTCTCTTCTTTGCTGCAATGCTGCAGAAGTTCACATTTCTCCCACAAGAGGGCGATGAATGTCCATCATGCGACCCAAGGGGATATACGGTTGGGCTTATATCACGTCCAAATAGTTATGAAGTGCGAGCAATTCTGCGTACTTGAATCCGTTATGTGACGTTAAGACCTCGGTTAAGACTTTAAAACAATGGTTAAATGTATTAAATTGGAGAGTGGAGACAGTTAAATGATGCGTGTTTATAGATGTCCATGAAAACGATTCTATACTAATGTGAATCTAAATAAATCTGACGCTCCTTGGTTAAAGTTCTCAACGTATTTAAAAATATTCCCAAGATATTGCAAGTTGCAAGTAACTGTCTCATTGATTCGTCTGAAATAAGTATTTTTCTCTTTAACACCACATATCCTCCTGCAACTTCTCTCCGAAAATGATAGATTTCCACGGATCATTACAAGAGAAATATCTTGTATCTGGTACTCCTCTCGATGCGAACGTGGTATGGTGTAGTTGAATACTTACGTTGGCATGATCACCACTGAGGGTAAAATGTAACTCACTTTCAACGCAATATTTCCAATATGAATAAAGAATATGGCAATATTATTAAAAATTTGTAGTTTGTTCGTACATGTGGAATATCTTCGTTTAATTCTTGAATCTATTGTTTTTATTGCATAGTTCAATGAAATGCCCGAGTGCTGTTGTTTTAATTGACTCGTTTCAATGTCAGCCCCAGAATGCACAAACTTAAAGGATATAACCGTGTTTTTTTTCAAAAAAATATAACAAAACACCGTCTTTGGTCAATTTAAACTTGGCATAAAGGAGCTATGAACTGATATGGAGCGGGGTGAAGTTGAATAAAAATAATTACAACTTTGTATTGTTGATCCATGCGTAGCTGAAAACGAATAGCTCAAAATAGCAGTAGCGCAACTTAGACGTGATTGGCTGGTGAATGCACTGAATTGGGTTAAAGGTCACGTGTCGGGTATTCACACGTCCATTTTTACTGCAGTCATCAAGGAGGAAGGTTCTGTGTAGAAAACTGTTGTCGTCAAATTTAACTTCAATTTTAAAATGTATATGGGATTAGAAGCAAAGGAATACATCTGGGGTAAGTGTTAGTTTACACGATGGTTTAAAGAAAATATGAAACAATTGATTGAATCATACACATGGAATATGGCGTGAAATTATTCCCAAAATTAGTTTACATGAAATCATTGCAAATTTTTCTTTAGGCTGCGAACTAACTGGCGAAAAGAAAGAAGTGAAATGGGATTTTGAGGAAGAAGACGACGACACAGAATTTCTTCAACACACCCTCTTCCTGAAGCATGTAAGTCCACTTATTATTATTATGAGATTCACTTGAAATTGATTTGATGGTCATCGAACAGAAGTCAATTGGATTGTGCATCTATTTATAAGTGCATTTTTCATTTATAATTACTGCGTGGTCTATTCATTACTCACTACATCCCATTTCATTGTTTTATTTCGTCAGTAAAACCTAACCCTCTCTGCCATGTTATTTTCAAAAAGATTAAGGTAACGCTTAAGTTAAGGTCAGGGTGCATGATGAAAAATTTTCTGCATTCCTCAATTGAGTCACATGTTATTTTTCAAACAAGAATCACTCCTTCCCCAAATTGTCTATATCTTCCAGTTTTGCACAAAGAGTGCACTTATGTGCCTAGAAAAGACTTGTGAGAAGAATGTTTTAATAAAGTGTATAAAAACAAGAAAATTCAGTGAAAAAATTTAGAAAATTTTCAGAAACTTTTTTCACTGAATTTTCTCGTTTTTTATATATTTTACAAAACAAATCTTCTCACAAGTCTTTTCTAGGCACAAAGATGCACTCTTTGTGCGAACCTGAAAGATATGAACAATGTGGGGAAGGAGTGATTCTTATTTGAAAAATAACATGTGACTCAATTGAGGGATGCAGAAAATTTCCCATCATGCACCCTGACCTTAATCAAAAGTACCAAAAAATGCCAGGCATATTTTTTTGACTAAGTCACAAGATTTTGTTTTCTGTTTTCCTTATATGCGAATGCATTTCCTGACTAAAGAGACATGTCAAAGAAAGCTTCACATTTAAGCGCTTTTTTTAATGCTGATTTGGAGGTGCATGGGTCCCTAAAGCTAGCATAGAGACAGTGAAGTGAGGATAAATTTTAAAAATTTCAAGGAGTAGGATTGCAATGGAGACACATTTGTAAGACTCCAAAATTTCCACAAGTCATCTTACCTTACCAAGGAACACCGAAGGAGCATTAAAATGTGTACATCATGCATTGTTAGAGTATAACAAAGCTCAAACCAAAGTAAATTCTAAATATTTCATGTCCACCATTCTGTTTGCTGGGACTATTTTCTAGTCCAAAATAATCCTCACTCATGTATCCATTGTTTACATTTAAAAAACATCATTTATATATCTATAATGATTATTATACTGTTATATATAAAGTATACTAGTGATAATCCATGCCACTTGGTGAAGTCACAAAAACTTATATGAGGATTACAGGAAGTCTAGAAGTAGTTCCGGCAGGAAAAATGATGGACATGAAATATTTATCAGAAACTATGGTTTGAGCTTTATCATACTCTAACAATGCAAGAAGAGCACATTTTCATGCTCCCTCAATGTTCCTTGGTAAGGTAAGATGATTTGTGGAAATTTTGTATTCTTGCAAATGTTTGACTGTTGCAAGGCTACTCCTTCAAACTTTCAAAAATTAGCCTAATTTCACAGTCTTAATGTTAGCTTTGGGGACCCATGCACCTCCAATTCATAGTTATAAAAAATGTGTTTAAAAGTGAAGTTTTCTTTGACATGTCTCTTAAGGTGCTATGGAACTTAACAGGAAATGACAAAACAGGAAGTGACAATTTTTTTTGCATTTTTAGATATTTTTTTAATAAAGATAACAGAGTTCTGGTTTGACCTCCAGTCAATTTAACTATTCCACATATCATTTACATGACCAGGATCACAATGTGCATGGTCAGAATGACCCTAAACATGATGAAATAACCTTTTTAGCCCTTTGAAAGTGTGACTGAAAAAAAGCTAAAAGTAGGAGCGTAGGGATAGTCACTGAACAGAATCTTTTGAATTTTTCAGAAAATGTGCCCAATATATTGCTCTAAATGATACAATCTTTGAAAATTTGATATCATTCATAGAAAAAGAAAAAAAAATGAAAAAACTGATTTGAAAAGCGATCTATTTTCCTTTTTATGACCGCCATTTTTGTTTAAGACAATTTTCTAAAATTTCAAAGATTGTACTAGTTAGAGTATTATATTGGGCACATTTTCTGAAAAATTCAAAAGATTCTGTTCAGTGACTATCCCTACGCTCCTACTTTTAGCTTTTTTTCAGTCACACTTTCAAAGGGCTAAAAAGGTTATTTCATCATGTTTAGGGTCATTCTGACCATACACATTGTGATCCTGGTCATGTAAATGATATGTGGAAATAGTTAAATTGACTGGAGGTCAAACCAGAACTCTGTTATTTTTATTCAAAAAATATCTAAAAATGCAAAAAAAATTGTCACTTCCTGTTTTGTCATTTCCTGTTAACTTCCATAGCACCTTAAGTCAGGAAATGCATTCACATATAAGGAAAACAGAATACAAAATCATGTGACTTAGTCAAAAATATATGGCTGCCATTTTTTGTACTTTTGATTAAGTTAACGGTTACCTTGAGGTCAGGGTGCATGATGGGAAATTTTCTGCATTCCTCAGTTGAGTCACATGTTATTTTTCAAACAAGAATCACTCCTTCCCCACATTGTCTATATCTTCCAGTTTTGCACAAAGAGTGCACTTATGTGCCTAGAAAACACTTGTGAGAAGAATGTTTTGATGAAGTGTATAAAAAACCAGAAAATTCCGTGGAAAAATCAGAAAATTTTCAGAATTTTTTTCGCTGAATTTTCTCATTTTTATTATACATTTTATAAAACAAACCTTCTCACAAGGCTTTTCTAGGCACATAAGTGCACTCTTTGTGCAAACTTGGAAGATGTAGACAATGTGGGGAAGGAGTTATTCTTGTTTGAAAAATAACATGTGACTCAATTGAGGAATGCCAAAAATTTCCCAACATGCACCCTGTCCCTAAGGTGCCATGGAAGTTAACAGGAAATGGTGAAACAGGAAGTGACAAAAAATTGCATTTTTAGACATTTTTTGAACAAAAATAACTGTTCTGGTTTGACCTCCAGTCAATTAAACTATTTCCACATATCATTTACATAACCAGGATCACAATATGCATGGTCAGAATGACCCTAAACATGATGAAATAACATTTTTAGCTCTTTGAAAGTGTGACTGAAAAAAAGCTAAAAGTAGGAGCTTGGGAAGGTCACTGAACAGAATCTTTTGAATTTTGCAGAAAATGTGCCCAATATAATGCTCTAACTGATACAATCTTTGAAATTCTAGAAAGTTGTCTTAAACAAAAATGGTGGTCATAAAAAGGAAAATGGATCGCTTTTCAAATCATTTTTTTCATTTTTTTCTTTTTCAATGAATGATATCAAATTTTCAAAGATTGTATCATTTAGAGCAATATATTAGGCACATTTTCTGAAAAATTCGAAAGATTCTGTTAAGTGACCTTTCCAACCTCTTTCTTTTAGCTATTTTTCAGTTACATTTTCAGAGGGCTGAAAAGGTTATTTTATCATGTTTAGGGTCATTTTGACCATAAACATTGTGTTCTTGGACCTGTAAATGGTATTTGGAACTAGTTGAATTGACTGGAGGTCAAAACAGAACTCTGTTATCTTTGTTCAAAAAATTTCACTTTTTGTCATTTCCTGTTAACTTCCATAGCTCCTTAACAGGGCTGAAATTCATTAAATTACAAGGGGGCATAGGGTTATTGCACAAAAAACTAAATAATCTGAAATATACGAATGTCATTTATGTACAGTATGAATATACTTTTCCATATATTATTGCACAATGCTCTCCTGATTTCTTATTTTTGGAGTTCTACTGACGAAATAAAACAGTGAAATGGGCTCTAGCAAATATGATAAAAATGCATCCAACACAGTCATCAGTAAGGTAGATCCAAATAATTTGAGAATTTATGACTTCATAATTGGAGTTAGGCCAGGGTGCATTTTGTAAATTCAAAGTAGTTCCAAACATTTAAAATTTGACTGCATATTATTTATCTCTTTAGGCTGCACTCGCCAGTGGGGCAAAGAAGGACGAACGCAACTTGGTTGTGGTTTCAACAAAAAACTTCGATGGAGAAGTCATCAACCAAACGTTGGTCTCTCTTTCGGTTGGTGTACACGAAATGTGCACACTGGACATTAGTTTCGGTCAGGAAACAATCGTCACCTTCAAGTTAGTAGAGGGAAGTGGACCCGTTCACCTCACTGGTCAACACATGGTCGGTAAGTTCATACATACAGGGCGATTAATAATCGTTTTCCCACAGTGGGCCAAAATCGGTTTGGAACCAAGTTTTAGATATTGGAAAAGTCAGCGCATGGGTGTGGTGCATAACATAGCAAAGAAATGATACAATGATGACTACTTTGATTTCATTTGATAAACCATGAAGCTGCATTTTCACTTTTCAATGATAAGTCATTTATTTATTTACATGGTGTCATGGTTGGCTGAGTAATCATTCCTTTTGCGCGTAATGGGCCCAAATAGGCTAGGAATCAGGTTTTAGACATTGCAAATGCAAAAACCGGTGCACGGGCCCAGGACCTATTGGAATGTGTGGTAGGTGTGAAGTAAACTGTTGAGGCTTCATACTCATATAATCATGCGCTAGATTACGTTTCGTAACCCCCACATGGCCATTTCTCTGCACACAATTTATTTACACACTCTGCACACTCCATGCCATACATAGCTTTTTGTGGGTTTCGGACGACGAACAACAGCTTGTGAGGGATTCTTTCTCGATGAATTGCAATGTAGTGGAGGGGTCTCGGAGGGGTGGTGTTGGTAAACACTTTACTCTTGAGATAGCTCCAAAGGAAAAGTCGCAAGAAGTAAATGAAATGATGCAGTCATCCCTGGTTTAACAATTTATTTGTTTGTTGCTTTTTTATACACAGTGTATACCTGGTTAGAAAATTTACTTACATGAATGGCAAGTACACACTTGCAATTGATAGGTACATGCACTTGTTGAATTTTGGTAAGATGTTTTGTGAGTAAACATGATTGATAAACAAGCTGTGCATGTGATCGACAAGTAGTGCACGGGATCGACACGTAGCGCACGTGATCGACACGTAGCGCACGTGATCGACACTGAATGTATGTGATATTAGTGTACGAGATTAAGAAGAAATACTCGTAATCGACAAGTAGCACAGGCTGGTATCGAAAGATTTGTCCGCTGTGACGGAGCATGCTATTTTTCATAAAAACACTAATCTGCTTCACGATTTATTTTTTAACTCATATGTTTCGTTATCTCAAAGATAATTACTTACTCCATGCAATGGATATATCATTTGCGTGTAACCTTCACTTCTGTTTGAAGTCCAATAACGCTAAGAGTAAAATCTATTGAAAACGGCGCCAGAGTATCAAACTCTAAAATGTACCATTTCTTTTTTAACTTTTTAATGGCATGATATAGTGACACGATAATATTAACATATGTTTTCAGTATAAATCTGAATGTATTAATGAGATATTAATGCATTGGGTCTTTTTAATTTTTTTATAAAAAATAATATTAATATTTTTTGTCCGCTGTGACGGAGCATTTTCACAGTTCACATTTGCAAATGGTCCGTCACAGCGGACAAAAAAATTAAACATTATTTTTTATAAAAGAATTTAAGACCAAATACATCAACATCTCATTTATACCTTCATAGTTATGCTGAAACCATGTATAAATATTATCGTGTCACTATATCGTGCCATTGGTTAGAAAGTTTTAAATGGTACATTTTGAAGTATGATACTCCGGCGCCATTTTCAATAGCTTTTCTTCCCAGCGTAATTAGACTTCAAACAGAAGTGAAAGTCACCCGCAAATGACATATCCATTGCATGGAGTAAGTAATTTTGTATGGTATAACGAAACATATGAGTTAAAAAATGAATCGTGAAGTATTCTTAGTGTTTTTATGAAAAATAGCATGCTCCGTCACAGCGGACAAATATTTCGATACCAGCCTGTGAGTAGCAGAACACATGGCTTTTAATCATTAAGCACCAATACTATTACTTTTATGTCTTTATTGATACAGAGTTCCCGGAGGAGTATAGCGATGAGGAATCTCAGTATGAAACAGAGGATCTCACGGAAGATGAGGTAGAACAATTAAAGAAAGATGCCAAAAACAAAAAGAGGAAAGCTAATACCCCTAGAACGTCAGGCAAAAAGAAGGTACGGAGAATCTTTTATAAAGTTTTTTTGAAATCCTCGACTCTTTCTGAAATGTGAAACCCATTAGGCCTACATGTGAAAATGTTATACATGTATGAATAGATGGCGGTGTATTAAATACTGTAAAGGACTGTTTTTTGGCCAGGAAAAGCCCTTGTTTACTCTCGCCATCTTTTAAACATCTTTGTACATTTTATTAGGAAACCTTCATCTTAACTAATAATGTACTAAAACACATATGTCATGTATTACTGTTGAAATGTTGAATACTTGATGTGTTTATTAATTGACTTTAATTGTCAGGGTATGAAATATACGAGATACATGTTATACTACATACTTTTTTAGTGACTGAATAATAACATAGGGTCAATTTTTTAATGTCTAGTGGAAATATTTCAATCTAGGTAATAAATCATACGATTTTCATAATTTTGATAGTCGCCTAATTTATGTGTTTTTCATTTGCCGAATAATTTATCAACTATTTTCAAAGGTCAACCGAGCTTCCCATAGTTGAGCAATTTTAATCTTCCCCACGTGCATAATGCATACAGATCTATTAAAAAGTGAAGTATACTTTTAGATAGTCCCAATTTGATTAATTTTTTCTGCCATGTGACATCGGTACATATGATGATTTTTGTTACACTAGAGACTTGTTCAATTCGAAGGACATGCATATTTGTACACACATTTGATAAATGAGAGCAGCTGGAAATCTGATTTCAACTGTATTGATATTTCTAGTTGTGAAACCAATATCAGTGAATGGTAGTTTCTTCAGACATAAAAACTATCTAATTATGACATTTCTGTCGACTGGCATGTTTCCTCAATATCTTAATCGCCTGTAAATACCCAGTGAATGTAATATATGAACAGATTTAGATACAGTTATCAGACCTTTTTGACCTTTCCATTTCTAAAATTGTAAATTGCATAGGAACTTTTTTGTTATATTTCTAAATACATGTGTGTATAACACACGCTTTATTGAAGCTTTGTTTACAGATTTGTGCATTGCTAGTTTGTGTTTAATAATTCCCTTTGTGTTTTCTCGTCAGTATTAGGGAAAATTACATTTCTAAACAAGCATCTCTCCAACAGATGAAACCTCTACATCAGACTAGTTAGACATACGTTCTTTTCAAATGAAAATGGACACTGTCATTTTAATAAATTTTGCACACGTTAAACTATTGATGTCAAAAGTGCAAGTGACAAATATAAATATATTCTAGGGGCTTATTAGTAGTTATTGAGGAGTAGCCAAGACATCAAAGAGAATGATGAACTATAACTAGAGTCAATTAGATCTAATTTCATTTACAAGTATATAGTGCGGTCTGTTACACTAGAAAGTTAGACGACCTGACAATTATATTCCATATATCCGTATTTTATTAATTAAAACGCGTCTCCCATTTATAAAAAAAAAGTAGGTGTTAACCCTCGGTGGATGGTTTTTTGATATACCCATGCAAGTTATCCCAACGAACTTGAATTGTTGGTGGATCTTAATTGAATTCTATTATTGCTCATTTTAATTACTTAAGCACTGGACACAGTGCAACGTGGAATGACCATTCGTTGAACTTGTTGCTTTCCAAAATTTGTACGAGATGCGCCAGCATCGGTGTTAATTTTAGGAAATACCGCATGAAAGGAATGGTCATTCCACAATGTACTAAGTCTTGTTGGGCTTAAATTCTTTTCACACATTGCAAAATATTTTCAACCAAGTTACATAAACTAAGAAATCACTGAAAGAGCATATTTTCAATGAGACTTTTTGCAAGGCTCAAGTTGGCAAAGCATCAATTTCAATTAGTAGAGTCTGTTCTCACCTTGACAACATTGACAAACACTCAATGGATGCGGCGATCGGTTTATGTAATTGAATACAGTTACGTGAAATAGCGTGTTCTGATTGGTTGGAATTGGACATGCCTTGCGTAGCTTTGTATGAATGGTGTTTTGAATATATTATGAGATTATTTGTGTGGAGACATGGCTTCATTGAACGGGTGATCTTTAAGGGTATGGTTGTTTACTTGCTATCTAAACAGTAAAACAAATGCTTACAATAATAAATTCTTTATTTTGAATGAACTACTCAGTGGTTCGGCAATTTTTTTTAATGCAACTTGATTCCTTTAGATCAATGCAACAAATTCATGACATTTCAACTTGTCTTATCACACTAGGTTAGTACTTTTGTTTGTTTCTTTTTCCGAGTTTAGCTCTTCCTCCGTGAGCTTCCCCCTGTGACTTTGGGGTCTCCAGATATTTTTAGATGTTTTGTTTTGGTATATAGGCAATTATTACGTTTGTTTTTTGTGTACACCTGGATGCTGTAGCTAATCTGAACAGCACATTTTGTCTAGCTCCTAGTCGGTTTCTCATTTCAAAAAGATTCTGGGCTGTTGTATATGATACCGCTGATAGAAATGTTCTGCGCAAGATAAATCTCGCTCTTCAAACATTGGTACAATGGTTAGATAATAACAACTATTTCCATGCGTATTGAGCCAGTTAAAAATGGCCACATCAATCTATTGGAACGATTCCATCCGCACTAGAATCCTAGAGGACAAAATCCTCAAACCTTGTAATTTATCGTTTTAGTGTCATTATAATTCAGGCGATACTATGATTTCAGTTAGCAAGATTAAAAGGCCAATATGAATAAACACTTGCATTGTTTTCAGCGAGGCAAGGTAGATAACGAAGAGGGTAGTGAGGAAGGAACCGAAGAGGATGAGGAAGATGAAGATGCCACGGAAGAAAGCATGGAGGAAGAGGGAACTGTAAGTATACATATGCTTCCCTCTCCACGAAGCCATTCAAACTTAGTTTTTTTTTGCTCTTAAGACCGTATTACTGCTGATCGGTATTTTGACCAAAATGATCATTCCATTCCATCGATAGATTTGGTTCACCAACAATGATTACTACCTGGTTTTCCCGGGGTAAGAGCATATCATGACTAATACAGCACGTACAAGTTATTGGCGATGGAATTTAAATCGCGTACAAGAGTCATTTTTTATGTCCTCACCTAATTGTAACCATTGGCAAAAGTTACATTTCTTGTCTTGTACCAAGACCTTTTTTAAAAATAAGTGTTTCCCTGTGGTGTATAAGGAGTTATCCGGGGTGGAACAACAAAACTTCAAAATCTAACCGGTAACGATCCAAGGATGAAACAATTTATAGCAAAGTCGCATATTACAAAGGATGCGTGTCTGACGAATATCCGGTGTAAATGCTTATAACTAGAAAGTGTTTTGAAAAATTAATTTCTTTAAAGAAATGTTTGTTGCCTTGGTTACAGGAGTCTGAACAAGATGAAGACGAGGAAGAGGAAGACGAAGAGGATGAAGAATCTCCTGAGAAACCGTAAGTCCAATGTGTTGATCCAACAATATAGTATGTTTAGGTTCTACCTCTTATTGCAGGTCCAGACTCGATAGGGTCGACTTTGATACCCAACTTGTGATTCTCCTGACATAATGACGGTTATAAAAAGTGATGGCTTAACAATGCGGGAGTCACTAATGCCGTTATGCCTGGCTAGGGTCTACTTGTGATACCTAACTTGTGATTCTCCTTACATAATGACGTTTATAAAAAGTGATGGCTTAACAATGCGGGAGTCACTAATGGCATTATGACTGGCTAGGGTCTACTTGTGATACCTAACTTGTGATTCTCCTTACATAATGACATTTATAAAAAGTGATGGCTTAACAATGCGGGAGTCACTAATGGCATTATGTCTGGCTAGGGTCTACTTGTGATACCTAACTTGTGATTCTCCTTACATAATGACATTTATAAAAAGTGATGGCTTAACAATGCGGGAGTCACTAATGGCATTATGTCTGGCTAGGGTCGACTTGTGATACCTAACTTGTGATTCTCCTTACATAATGACGTTTATAAAAAGTGATGGCTTAACAATGCGGGAGTCACTAATGGCATTATGCCTGGCTAGGGTCTACTTGTGATACCTAACTTGTGATTCTCCTTACATAATGACGTTTATAAAAAGTGATGGCTTAACAATGCGGGAGTCACTAATGGCATTATGTCTGGCTAGGGTCGACTTGTGATACCTAACTTGTGATTCTCGCATACATAATGACGTTTATAAAAAGTGATGGCTTAACAATGCGGGAGTCACTAATGGCATTATGTCTGGCTAGGGTCGACTTGTGATACCTAACTTGTGATTCTCGCGCATAATGACGTTTATAAAAAGTGATGGTCAACAATTCGGGAGTCGGCGTACTTAATCTCTGATGCTATTATGTTTTTAGTAAGAAGAAACCTGGGAAGAAAGCCGCGAAAAAGACTAATTCAGACACACCAACTAGGACGACCAAACTAAAGCAGCTCAAGTCACCAAGAAGTGCAACCAAGGTAACAGAGTCTAAATAAATCTATTATATATTTTGAAATTAAAAAATAATTGACACCGTTTTATAAAAAAAATTCTCCGATTTGAAAACGTTGAGTATGGTACAGTGCTACACATTTGACATTTTGCATTGTCAACCAAGTTGATACGGGTTTCAAATATATAGTCAACATCCGTTCACCCATGTCTTTGCTCTCTTTGCTTTGTCATTTTTGCTTGAATAGAAGCATTCACTAAAATATAAGTAATTTTGTTGAGTATTATCTTTAATCAGTATTTAGAGTGTCAACTGTCAAGCCAGTGACAATGTTATTTCATGTATACACATACAAATCTTGTTATCATTTTCTAGATCATTTACAAAGTCTTCATGTCTTTATTAAGTTTCATTATTCACCTTGTAAATTATAAGATCACAAATGAACGTTTACAGTTATCAATAGAAAGTTTAACTAAGAGCAGTCATACATCATTATGTACAAATAAGTTAAAAACTATCAGGTAAGTCATCTTAAAGGAACAACTCTAAATGAGGTTTTAAGTTTTATCCCCGCCTTGGGACATTTTTTGAGAAACTGCCAACCCATATCTAAGCCTTGGTGAAATTTTCTTTCATAATCATTAGATTAAGTACATTCACATTCAGTCCATTCTCCCTTGAAGGAGTACTTCGTAGTATCAAATTGGGGCTTAAAAGGAATATGAAAAATCGTCAATTCAATTTTTTGGTGTATGTCGGAAATGACCCGGATGACACCAGATTTAGCCCACACAGAGAGCCTGTAGGTTAAGGACTAGTCATCAATCGCTCCGTCTGCTCTCCCACAGAGTCCTTAGTGCTGTGCGCCATGCGTTCAGATATACCCTTCTGGGGTTTTTACCTACTTCTGTGGTGCAACCCAGAAGTTGGTCAGTTTTCATAACCAGTGCACCTCACATTCATAAAGAACAATCGCACCCCGTATCAATTTTGATATGCTTAACATTGTCCATTATAACTTGGACAGATTTGGCACTGTGGACTTTACTAGAATGTGCAACCCGCTAATCTAATTGCACAGCACAAGGAAAAAAATGCACAAAGGACTCTGCGGGAGTACGTCCGCCCGTCCATCATTTTGTCAACATTTGTGGTACAATTTAGTACTACTATTCGTGGAAGTTCGTAACTATATTCATTTAATATCTGTCCATGGAATCTATTTCACCTGTCCTCGATCGGTTTTCGAGAAAATGGCTAGGTTGACGCACTTTGTTAATATATGCGATTCCATGTTATGTAGAACGATCAAATCTGTAATTGGTCGTATTGGTGTAACATATGTCCTCTCACAATTAAATGCCATAGGATTAACTGCTTTTTGAGTTTTGAATTTTGATGAAACTAGAACTCCATTTTCATGTACAAAGTCAAAAGAAAATTCGTTTTACCCCATGAACATATCCATTTTGTTTTTCCAGAACAGCAATTTATCATGTTGCAAACTCTGTATTTTTGCCATTGGGCGATTTGGTTTTGATTTCATTTACGTCGTGTGTTTTCTTGTCCCAGTTTTGACCTATCAGTCATCTCTGTGTCGAGGAAGTTCCAAACTTGACGTCAAAAACCCACATTTTGGCAGCAGTTCTTTTCAAGAGCACAATGGCCTCTAAAACCCAACTGCTGCTTTTAATGATATTGAAGAAATATTTCACTCTGTTGAGGTGAATACCTGTACATCTTTCACAAGTGATATTCCACGAAGCCCGAAGGGCAAGTGGAATATCACCTTGTGAAAGTGCTACAGGTATTCACCGAAAATAGAGTGAAATATTTGTTTTATTATATCACTGTCTAGCTAAACATCCCTAATATTATTAAGTCATTAAGTCTTTAGATATTTTTACGAATCTACTCGATTCGTCTGCCATTTTGACTTACGCTGAACTAAAACAAATTCTTTGAAAATTCCAGGGAGCGTGGGATATTGCTAGATATCGCTAGATATCTCACGGTTGTCTTATCTGATAAGCATTGCCATTGAATATCGCCAGATATCCCACGACATGTGACCCGGTTTTGACCAATCACACTGTCGCTAGCTAGATAGTGATATAATAATACATCATATTTGCTACTAGGCTATTTTACTATAATGAAGTACACAAAAGATTTGCTCATACATCAAAAATGTAGTCGGTTGCATTTTTAAATCTGATCGGTCCTTGGACGTTGTCAATAAACGTTCTGTATCGGTCACTATTTTGAAATAATTAAAACACTCCAAATGGATTTTACTTACCCTTATTAATGCATTTTGTGTACTCGTGCTCATCTATTGCAAAATTTCTTCCAGACTGGCTCTTCCAAGAAGGTTGCTGGCAAAAAGGTGAAGGCAAAATAGTTATAGGATGCCATCGTGGTAATGCAAAAGGACTTTAGAACAAAATTGTACATGAAAATACTATCATTATTGTAAATATTCCAAGATAGATGCAATCCTTACCAAATAAAATAGAAATATATTTTTTATAGCCATACATATACAAGCGTTTGTTAGTAATTATTGAACAATCAAAGTAGTGCAATTAATTGTTGATTTTGATATCGATTTTAATCCATTGATTTCAAACATCAAGAACGGAAATGTGAACTTTGCATTTTTTGTCCACTCTCGACCATGGACTGACTGGACAATACGAGATATCTCCTTGTGACTAAATCTGAGATTTACACTATACATTGTTCGACAAGTTCGGAACCACAATGGATAAAAACTAACTGAATAAATATAACATGTATACAGGATTATGCAGAAACACAGACCCCCTCCCCTAAAAGTCATATATTACGATGTCTAGAGAACTAGTTCTGCATCATTGTAAAGACCAGCCAATGTTGCTGCAAAATATCATATACAAGTTATAAAGCTTAAAAGGTTCTAGACGGCAAAAGTACAGAACTTTGTGGCAAATTGATCGAAGAAAACCTTTATAGATCCCTTATCTTATATTCACCCGTTTTCTACAATACATAATCACATTAGAATTGCAACCATTAAACCTACTCAAATGGCCGTGAACATTGTGAAGAAAAGTCTACACCAAAATGAAAATAAAAATATATCCAAAATTGATGAATTCACTCGACACTAAAGATGTTTGAAGAAAATATTCGAAATGATCAAGCGGGCATACCCGTGTATATGTATTTTGTGTCCTAAAGCTATGGTCTTTACTATGGTGCAAAGCATGCCGTTTAAACCTTTTGCATAGTCATTGATTATTTAGAATTAGTTGTACACAATCCTTCATCAAACCAACCCAACGAAAGCAGCCGCATCCAATAAAAAAATGATTTCCATATATGCAAAACCTGCCCCACCCCAAACCAGCCCCGCCCCAAACCAGCATCGCAATATCCTTACATAGCACAACATATTGTCAAATTAACAATGTATTACAGCAAACCCCAATACAAAACTGGTCTAACATAACCAGGCACAACCAGACAAACAACCATTAAAGCACAAGCAATTATCGAACTAACACATGATCGAGCACAACCTGGAGATGAACCACGACGACACATCCGACAAAGCCAAAGCCATAACATTTCGTTGAATTAACACTACACATTCAGGTACAACACCACCAGTACCGGATACCTCGCTCTATTGTCCTCAGCATGCCACCCGACCAGCCAACCAGACAACTACTAAAACATCCGACTTTCAAACCAGCGCAACGCAATCTGGCACAACCCAATGATAAACCAGGACTTTGAATTACGCGACATAATCTGACCGCATTGCGATGCACATATCCCCAATAAGTTCCCCCAAACCAGAGACAACGTAAATCACACAATATAATAGGGTACCGACCAATACGTCACCAACCCATACCACCTCGCCAAATTGTGCTCAACCTGCCACTAGATCAGGAACACCAACACGGCAATACATAACACAACACATTGTCAAATTAACATAGTACAATATGTAATGGTACAATACCAAACCAACATACCCCACACTGGACACAACCCACCACACCCCACACTGGACACAACCCACCACACCCCACACTGGACACTACCCACCACTCAACTAACTACGGTAGCCTAACATATATGCACAACCTTAACACAAATCCGACAACCAACAAGCCCCTTTCAAGACCGCTGGCAAAGAAGAAAGCTGTCGCCTGAAGCTGACCATCCTGTTACAGACATGTTCACCACGTGGTATACCATTACGGTTACGCCACCTCTGAAAACGTTGGTTTGCCTGCTACATGCACAGATTTATCCAATAAAAATGGCCACGATAGAACAGGAAGTTAAGGTTGGTGCATTATTTTCTACTACTGTGTATCAATCAAAGCATGAACAAGTTATGTAAGCATGATATTTGGTAATGTATATTTTGAACGTAGTCTGCAATTTGATGCCCGGGGATAACATGAAATAAGCGAAAAACTGTCGAGTTTGAAATTCAAAACTACATAATATTTAATAATTTGTTTATTTTCCTCGTTAGGGCAGTGTCTACATTGCCTAACAACCTTGGTGTATTTAGATGTAACCTACATACGATCATACGCCAAAAATTGATGGACGGTTACGCGAACAGAGTTCATTTATGAAACCCTGATTCATTTCATATCGCTTGTGATCCGAAATTGAAATGTTATTAAATATTTTTTAACCGGATTTGATTTCAGTCCTGAAAACAAATATAGGCAATTCAATATTCCATTTTTACCCGTTATTACAATAACATGGAAAGAGACAGGTGTACATGCACATAACCGTTCGCTAAATATCTAATGTACAACTAATACAATACGTTAACGTCCATAAAAAATCATGCAATTCATGCGTAGTCGTCCAAAGACCTTGCGATTGAAACCTTACTATTAACAATATACACCACATTCCTGTTCTGGATTTGTCATTTTATGGCTTGTTTATACAGTTTACTTACAGTTAGTATTTTGAGTGGTTCTGATGCACATATACTGATAAAACACGAGAACTAAAAATTATGTATGAACTTGGATATCTCAGCCGGTAGGTTTACAGCTTGTATTCTGCTTCTTTTAGATCACACGGCAGATTTAACTCAGTCTTTATAGTAAAATTTTCAAGTTGAATAAATCAGCCGTTTTTTCTGGAATTTTAATGACTAGAATAAATTTGTAGTCTTGAACTTGGAAAAACTTGGATAATATCGTTTGATGACATTGACCTTGGAAAATTTCACCTTTCCAGACCTCGGTAGTCTTTTGTAATAAGATTTACCTAAATTTGAAGGTCAAAGTCTGTGAGCAGTGCTAGTCCCTGAAACCCCACACTAATCTTTCAAATTCAAAATCACCCTGATATACCATGACGGTTACGTCAAGGCGAGTTTATCTTGAAAAATAATTATACGGAAGAAATAACTCGTTTGTAATTTTCAACTTTTTTTTTACCATTAAAAGTTTTGGACTGACAAAATTTCAAAATTGCCTCCTGCTAATGAAAGCAATATTTAATCAACCTTGTCACTAGCAGGCGTTCGCCGTGTTATTCTATGCATATCAATCTTATGATTTGAGAACATTCTTTCAACCCTCGTTTGATCAACTCCAAGGTGATCTGGTAATGTACTAATTTTACATTTACTTTACCCGTTTATAACCTAGAAAACAAATCTGTTATACTTGTCGATTAATGTCCGACAGGAATGGCGTGGGTAGTTGTTGTCAATTGTTTTTTGTCCTCTAATTACTTGTACAGTACTTTTGTGATCAGCTGGTGTACCAACAGTTAGACCATGTTTCTGGATCTTGTGTTATTTGTTTGTTCTTTCTAATCCGAATCCATTCCTTTGAATATTTCTTATGTTGTTCTATGCGTTTCGGACATTTATACAGATGAACAATTCAACACGTCTTTATAAGTAGAACATTATATATGAACTAAGTCATCATTCCGTCATCAAAGTACTTAGAGAAATGTCAAGAGATTATCAAGACATTATTGGTACATGGTCCAATCATACTTGTACAATTTCAGAAATATGTTCGGTATTTTAGTGCAGCATAACAATGTCCATATTTAGAGCGTTATATGTGAAAAAATATTAAATTACAGAGTGGAATTAAAAAGAATATTACGCAATTTCAAAAGGAATTCAAAATATGTCGAAGAATGGTAAAACGGATAGATATCACTGCGAATTTCTGAAATCCAACAGGTTGTTACTTATAAAAGGTTCCTAAGTTACACTGGACCTAAGTAATAACAGTCATCATGACCCTTAGATAAACTTAGTTCTACAGGGTGTCCCAGAAGGCCGCATCCCCTGTGTCTGTAGCTAGGTCTACATACTTAAATAAATTGATTACCTATATGCAAACATGCTAAGAAGCTACGATTCGATGAAAGGCATTAGAATCCTAGAACTTGAAATACTAGTAGGATTGGAATTTTTAAATGAAAATAAGTCTCATTTTAGGTTTCTTAAAATATTGCTGTGGTATTGACCAACTGTTTTCGTAGTTATAAATTAGTTTTTTAGTTCCATTATTTGTGTTCATTGTTGATTATACACATACGTTTGATATATTCAACACGTTGATCCTATGCATACATACATTCAATGCGAGTTTACGGATGTGGCAAGACTTCTGAAACAACCTGTAGACATTGTCTGATTGTGAATGGAATAGATCAGTCATTAAGGCAAAGTCGTTAATGTCAAGCAAAAATGGCGTAGGGACCTTGGTATGCAGAGTAGTACTATTTTTAATCACTCTCGTTAATTAACTTTGGTAATGGTTTGTATTGGTGAGAATGCTTTGATCATTTTGATTTAAAGTTCAAACTCCTATTATGTTTGGTCAACGATACTGTACCAATATTCATTTGCGATTATAAGATAGTTTTAAATTTTTCTTTTGTATTTTGCAGTTCAACAGTATCTCCAGACTATAACCGTGTAGTCTTATAATTATCCAAACTAGCGAATTTCGTTATATAAAGTTGCAATCAGTTCGTCCGTTTGTTTTGTTAATATGTTTCGTTCGGTGGGATCTGCTACTCCGTGGATTTGCTGTTTTCTCGATGGCGAATTGAAAACGCGCGTTCTTATGGTGAGCTACATCTTCAGCTGAAAAAGTTCAAGCTCTCTGAACCTACTAAAATTCACTCTAGCATCATATCTTACAAAAAATGTTAATTCAGATTTTTGTTTCTATTGAAACTGTGAAAATTAGGTATAATGATAGTATTACTCCTCACCTGTTAAAATACGGTTCGCCAAAATTTAGATCATAGCTGATACTATCTTAACTGAATGGAATGTGCCAGGCAGAAATGCAATGCCTTGTTTTTTGCAAGATTGTATATACACCGGTGTAAAAGGGTAGGAGGTCCTATCAAATTATGGTCCTACTTTCCATTGATTTATATGGTGACCTCAATACAACTCTTTCCCTCATTATCTTATACGCAATCAGGGCAAGTAAGGGCCGTTAAGAAAGGGGACCATAATCCCTGGGGGACCATCACTTCTTTCACAGGATCAATGAATTGTCTTGAGAGTGCAGATGAAGTAGACTTAGCCTCTTGCAAATGGTATCTATTCTGTCAAAATAATCTTCAGCACGTATTGTAAGAATTTCAGTATGAATGAAATTTGACACGGTCTTGTGGTTTTCTGAATTAGGATAATGATTCCTGCTGATAGGTGGACGTGAGCAGGGGTGTAAGACGTAGTTTCTGGGTTGGCTCCTAATTTTGGATATTAGTGCTAGCTAGGGCTTGTTTTCCTTATGACTGATTACTCTCTTCATGCCTTTTGGTATTTTGTTACCTTTTTAGCCTTTTTGGCACTTTTGCACACATCTATTTGCAGACAATAAATTAGACAATCAACTCAGATTTTCCCGAGCCTATGTTCTTTGATGTTGGATTTGGAAAATGCACTGTACGAAAAGAAAAATAAACAGAAGTCAGATATTTAAGTTATTTACAAATTATTTTGTTAAATAAATATATCTTTGGCTTATATTATATAACAATATAGTACATCATATGTACAAACTATGCTATCATTTGCTTATGTTTACAAGATATATTCAGTGTTACGAGATCCTATCTAAATACAAAAGTTACACAATCCTAATAATTTATCAGTTTTCACAATGTTCAAAATTGAAACTAAGTATAGATGAATGGCAACGTTAAGGTTTAGTTGTATATTTTCTTAACTGACATACACATTATGTGTGTTTATGCCAAAATTATCTATTGATGTCTGGATCGAGATAAGTTTCATGATATCAGTTTATTTTCAACATTCAAAATATAACAATTCTTTTTAGGGAAAAATCAATGACGAATGGTGTAATAATGGTTTTAAGTTTAACCTAAAATTTTCTTCAAGATATAAATAATGTTAAATAAATAGAGCTCAATGTTCCCTGTCTTATAAACCTACGACACAACCTTAACTGTTCCTAGCCCTTTAGTCTAACACACAGTCTCAGGAAAAACCCCAATATGAGGCTGTATTTTCTCGGGTCTGTGCACCAGGCTATTTATTATATAGCTGCCAAAATATCTACACTTACACTCATTAAATGGCCAATTGTGGCACACATGCAATTTATAAATAGGCCAATTGTGATACATTTGTACTCTATTAATAGGCCAATTGTGACACTTTTGCACTCTAAAAATAGGCCAATTGTGATACAGTTGCACTCTATGAATAGGAAAATTGTGATACACATGCAATTTATAAATAGGACAATTGTGATACATTTGCACTCTATTAATAGGCCAATTGTGACACTTTTGCTCTCTAAAAATAGGCCAATTGTGATACAGTTGCACTCTATAAATAGGAAAATTGTGATACACATGCAATTTATAAATAGGACAATTGTGATACATTTGTACTCTATTAATAGGCCAATTGTGACACTTTTGCACTCTAGAAATAAGACAATTGTGATACATTTGCACTCTATAAAAAGGACAATTGTGATACTTTTGCAATCTATATCAATAGACCAATTGTGATACATTTGCATCCCATTAAAGGCCAATTATGACACCTTTGCACTCTATAAATAGGTCAATTGTGATACATTGGCACTCTATCAATATACCAAGTGTGATACATTTGCACTCTATAAATAGGCCAATTGTGATACATTTGCGCTCCATAAATAGGTCAATTGTGACATTTGCATTCTATAAATAGGCCAATTATGATACATTTGCACCCATGAATAGGTCAAATGTGCTACATTTAAGTGAGCTACTATCAGGTCAAGTTTTTCTGAGAAATCGTTTTCAAGATATTTTAAGCAACAACGACGATTAACTCTCTCAACTCAATGCATACATTGTTCATGACTTACATTTTAAAAGTTTACAACTTTTTTATTCTTAATTTACAATCAAAAATCAATTACCTTCAATTGGCTATATTCTAATATGCTCTAAACACGATTGGCATTGTAAATAAAAGAACCACACATATTGAAGGCATCTCAGGCTAGATACGATCGGATCAGGTTGACAAGATTTCATGTAAAACTGATAAATTCTGCGTCATGCATCAAACATGTACCACTTCAGGAGCTTCTCAATGGTTTTTCACCTGTTCAACGTAGGTAATTAACCACCTGATCTCATCCAAAGTAGTCGATTTAACGTTTGGAATTGTTGTCGTGTATTTCATAAACAAGTTTACAAAGTAATGCCAGTGGGTTTGGAAAGCTATCAGGAATTCCCCAGGCTACATATAAAACTTTAACCTGCTCATGTTTTCTTTCAGATGAAAACACATTAGAAATATTTTTAAGTTTTTGTTGACAAGTCTTTGATGTTTTATGAAAAAAGCACCTGAAGCTCATGTATGCTTGATGTTTGGGATGACATAGGTCTATCAGAGAATCTATACGTCATAGAGTACCATACCTGGTGACCTTCAACTTCTTTCGAACGCAAAATTGTGTTTTACATTTTGTATGGCCTGAAGGATACTGTAAGATTGCCAAGTCAACATGTTTTTATGGCTGCCAAGAGACAAGGCGCCATTTTGAAAATTTCTCACATAATCTGGATTCCAATGTTATCATTTATAAGGCATGTGTTGTAGTATTAAGACATTCATATCTCAAAGAAAGGGCTTATTTAAAAACAAAATAGTTTGATTGTAATTTAAAACCATTTGATGAATTATATTAAGATATAAAAATTCTGTATTTTAATCTCGCATAAAGACCAATATGACAATACTTTATAAAAAGCACAATAATTGCATTTTTGAATAACAGAATGTTAATGAAGATATTTTGTTGCAGATAAAAACAGATTATTCCCATGAGAGGGAAGATATCATATCCACTCAGGATAGATCAATAAACATTCCCTCCCTGGGAATAATACATTTAAACCCGGGAATAATTTATTAAAATGAATTGTATTTTATTGAACTCTGCATGTTAGTAGGTGGTATATTAAAGAGAGACACTCCCAGCTTATCAATCCAATTGGTTTATTCTGGGATTTCCTTCATCTTTTCGGCCTCTCAGAAAGAGAACCTACTATGAGATGGCACAATGAAAGGTACACAGAATTTAATTTATAGCTTAAAAGTTGCTGTCCAGTGTTTGGATACATCTTCAGCACTATGTGTACAAGAGGTGTACCTAAACACAGGAGGTGAAAACGAACATTAACAGATAGTATCTCTCAAGAAAGTATGATAATATTTGCGTTACATTACAGTACCCCACCTCTGAATGTAGTTACAATGTATAATGACCATAACAAACTATAGATAGGGCATGCCTAAATACTTAAAAAAATTCTGAAATGAAATTTCTGAACCTATAAGGTTCTGTTTTACATTCATGATAACTTGATGGTATAAATACATAGGTTTTCAATTGAAATGAAAATAGCACCAGTGTAAAAAGAATCATTCTCCAAATTACTCTCCGGAACTCATGCTCTTTCGCATTCCTCCAAATGAGGTTCTGGTTCTGGTACGTCCGGAGAATGGGAAACTACACGCAGTATTGCATGGTCATGGAAGGTAGCAAGATCTTCAATTACAACGCATGTATTTCATAGTTGATGCTTATTTTGCACAACATTACATCAAATAATACATTTTCATTTTGTTTGTGGTGTGGTATTGTTTCAAATATCTTTCCCAACCACTTTAGCCTGACATGAATGAAACAAGTTATGTTGACCTAGATTCATATCAAGCCTTTTACAATTTGAATCACATAGATCATATCTTATATTAAAATACTTTACCAAATAGGTTTTAACAATAAATTATATTAGATTTAATATAGCGATAATATTTATAATATCTATGCACAAAGCTATTCTCTACCTTTTATCACTGGCTCTTCAGAGAATTTCTCACTGAGTGGAAAGCCTAGTCATAGCTATAAAGATGACAATTCTAAGACGATTTTCAGTTATATTGATGGCTTTTGTCTCAGGGACATCCTGCACAGTATAACATGAGAGTCAATAGAGAGGTAGACTAAGTTTAGCACTAACCGTGCCCGTGAAGATTCACTTTCCTTTTAAGTGTCACGTGATAAGTATGGAGTGGACATTGTATTGTACGAATTTGATACAACCGTTTTCACTAGTAGTAGTGAACACTATCATTTTGATATATAAATATTAATATAACATTATATAAACAATAGGAATTGCCTTTAATATATCTACTTTATTACAAGTTTTTTGTTTTAAAATCTCCGAAACTGCAGTTACTATAAAAACTGCTACGTATGTGTATCATCGGTCTCTGAAACAGAGCTAGCGAACCGTCAATGCCAGCTTCGTAGTTCTTCAGTGGTATAGATTCATCATTGCACGTATTTCTCATCTTGTTCGTCTCTGCCTGTGCTTGCGTAATGGGTGCGTTCGTGCGTATATAAATACCATTTAGTAAGGCATAGACGATGCAGCTGCGTTCATCTATTTACGATGTTACACTGCCTTACGGGTCCCCACATAAACGCATCAGGACGTTGCAGGTACGACTGCTTTGCGGCAATGCTGCCGGCTGACATATTGTATCTTGTTGTCAGTGGGATTGCACTGGAAATATGGCAGTGTGTACATTAGACACATTGGGAATTATGAGCGGGTGTCATCTCTTTTCATTAGTTGAAATATTCAAATAACTCATCATATAATCGTCATCTATATCGCCTAGATGTAGTTTTGGCGCTTCTGTTGCGCGTCCTTTTGTTGGCTGTGAAACTCCTTCCGAAGATTTGTCATGTGCTACAAATTGTGTACATTCTTTCCTGAATTTTTTGCTGATTTTTTTGGAATTTGTCTTATTCCTATTAGGCCTATAGTGTAATGGTTTTCCAGTGATTTTATCAAATCCTAAATACCAGTTAGGGTTGTGTCTTGATCTAAACTGCATAAATGTGTCATTCACTATTCTGTCGAATTGACAAAGTATTTTATTTCCCTTGTCCTGAAAAACATGAAAAATAAATTTATAAATCACATGAGTAAATGAATAGATGTGTCACGTTGAGGTCAAGTAGTAATTACCGCTCAAAAAGTAATAATTCCATCAAATCTAAACTGTGTGACAATTGAATAAACAAAACCTCATCAGAATTCAATCGATTAAGAATGGCTGCAATTTTAGGAAGGGAGTTTCACAAATGAACATTTGAATAATTGTTATACAATGCCAACATGTTCCTTTCACCATTTTGCAATATGCAAAAACAGATACAATATTTAATTAGAATCAGAATCAAAAAGTAATAATGTCAAAATGGTATGCTCATTATTCCGTGTCAAGCACACACCCTATATCAAACACCTAAAAGTATTAATTACAACGCTATTGATTAAATATAAATATTAAGATATCATTATTATAATATTGGTTCTTAAACAAACTTTTTAATAATGCAATGGACCACCGAAGTTGGTACTTAAGAAAGGACCCCAACGTTTCCACCTTTTGATGAATAGCTTTTCAATGTGATGATGTTTTTATTTGATTTATCTCAGTGACTATGTGTATAAATTGTACAAATAAAGAATCCAAGGTAACAATTAAGAGGTCACACTGGCAGTCTTCAAAGAATATTAGCCTAGTATAGATGAATGGACGCTGAGACCTCTGACCAAGTATCCATTCTATGACCAAGGGGAAATATTAATATCATGAAATGGTTTGAGGGTATTCACTTTCAAAGATATGACGATGGTCATTTCCAGTTGATTTATGACGAATTCTTGTTTAGCTACATCCTTTGAATACACACACTGAATCAACTTAATATACGAGCGCCCAACCCCCTTGGCTACAACAGATTTTATTTCGATAATTTCATCAGGGAAAATGATACTGGACACACTGGACATAACCCGAATCAACAAGCAAGATGACACTCGGTTTAAATAATTTCTTTTACAAATTTGTTTCCAGTTCCAAATATTCGCACTTCCATGAATACAATTTCTATTCGGTTCATACGTTGGGTGGATCATCACTTGCGACATGTTCTGTGATAGTTGCATCAATAGGAAGGGCATCTTCAGGGAATGGACAGATGGATAGGTCACAATACTTGGCTATCATTTGCATGTGTAGAGCCGCACTACTTCAGGGAACTAAACCAATTTTTCACTGGTCTTTTGGGTCTTACAGCCCGCCCTGTCTGGTCTTTGCTCATGGCTCTACTAGACAAACTGAATACAATGACCATGTGGGGGTAATAAATATGTCTTGTTATTGACAAACGCATAGTTGAAGCTTATACTCCTGATATAAAGGCAAAGCCCTTATTAGGATGCAGTTAATGAATACGATTGGTCAACTTTAGAGCCCACGGGTGAAATAAAATTCATAAATGCAAAATATAAAAATATGTAATGTGAAGGGAATACGTCGTTTTCTCAGTGTGTAAAACCAGATGGCACTCTAGCGAATCGTACAAATTGATAAGCTCGAAATTCAAAAAGTGTAAATGTAGATCACACTCAAAGGTCAAATATATCCAAACAGATTTCTAGATCTTTATGAGTGCTAGATTTGATTTACTAAACTTGTTTATAGATGGTAGTAATTGAACTAAGGTTATATCCCATGAGCGAACGTACCCGCCTCTTCACTTGTAATAGTTTCATCCTAAATATATCTCAATTCTTTCCAATGCGTTTACAAGTTGTGCATGAACACAGTCGTGATTTCTAATTGTAGACGGACGTGAACAACAGACATATAAAAACATAAATTTCATCAAGGTTGTAAAAAGTTCAATTATCCTTCATTTGTCTTTACTTTTCGGGAGGTTATAAAATTCAAACTTTTCATAAACTATAGTTGTTCACATGCAAGCGACTTTCGTGTTATGTGGTGCACATTAGTTGTTTTTTATTGTGGATGTACATTCAGCTTTGGAATATTATTTATTTAATGCTTTCAAGTGCATCAGGTTATATAGTACTTATATTGTCTACTAATATAGATATGCAATATTTTGGGGGTATACTTATCAACTGTGAAGAAATAACAATGCAAGTTAAGTGCAAACGTTCTGGCCCTATAAAACTTTTAAAAAGATAATTCAAAAATTGTCGCAAATTGCCGTTCTCTTCAACATGGTTTTACAAGTATGGCATCTCTTCAATAGGCCAGTGTCAGAGGTTTCGTTTTGGAGGAAAACCTTTATGGCAGCCTTTGAATATCGAAAACTAATGCATCACGCAAATGGGGGCAAATAAGTAGACGATAGTTTTGTTCATAATTAGCACTTGTCCTCTCCGGTGACCTTCTGATAAGTATGATCAATTTATTGTGAGGAATGTCAAAATTAATGTTACAAATTTCGTTGGATGTTTTGCGAAAATCTGGAACCATAATTATAATTTAACACATTGTCACAAACCAGAGAACTCGTGATTTGTATAGGTCATATGAGAACATATACCTGTACTGTATTTTTAGTTATAAATTGGAGGTTCTATGGTTTTAGCTCTATATGTTAAATTCATTTCATGTATTAAATTCAATGCAAAGTTGGTACAGTTACTTTTGTATATAAATCTTCATTTTTGTCTCCTGGATGTGATATATACGCTTACCAAAATGCCTCACGTACAATGTATGATCAACATTATTAATTACTTGCTTTCTTTCTATAGACACCAAATGGTACAGCATATATTTGTTAAATGCTTTTTATATAAGTCTGACCCATTGGCCCTTTGTTATTCAAGGAGGAGAAATGGGCTAATGTTTGTTGAAACATTGTGTTCAATAAAAGGGGCATGCCAGAGAACGCAAATGCTGTGACCCATATCAATGCACATAGCAGCAATGCCCTCCGACGACAACGCGTGCTAATTCAAGTATAGTAAACGCATATATAACACAGTCACATCTATCTAAATAACACATTTTACTGCTATGTTAACATCAGCGAACTAAACATCCCAATATGAACACATTAACACTTTTCTAACTCACTATATGTGGATACACTTTAGAATGTACTTTAAACGAAAACGATCAAACTTTCGGTAATATCGTTAGTTTAATTTAGCCTTACAATGGCCAATTAAGGATGTTATATAATCTAATTATAATTGATATCACCCATGGTCATTCATCGATTGTGGGCACAACTAAGAGTGTGTTTAATTGCATAAGAAAAAGTATTATTTCCTGTGATACCATCTGCCCAGACGTGGTTCAGAAATGGGTACTTGCTCGGTTCTTAAGCTTAAATTTTGACTTTATGCACTTCAATGGCTCCTTCAAATTGTTCAAAGTTGACATTTCTGTTCAACGAATACACCGTGAACACCACGAGTAGTGTTTCAAACATATAGATGTGAGCTTTAAGTGCTTCCAATGCTATGTGACACGATGTGACACACTCATTTACGCATAGTTGAACAAGCAGGTTCTGGTAGTTGAAGAGCAATCAAATTGCACTCGTGTATTGGATGACGACCACTTTTACGCAACAGGGCATTGATATCACTGTGTTGAACAAAACTGTTACAATGGAATCATCCAATGTTATTTTGTTAAGGCCAAACAAACACAATTAAGGCCAAGGGCTATAAAATGATTTGACACATCGTTCCCAGGTCAAAATGGATTATGTCTCATCATTGATTTTTTGTGGAATAATGTGGAAGGTGGTCAATTCAATTTTTGTGAAAACAAGCTGCAAATTGACGGCTTGCAAACGAATCAACATAAGCGTATTTTCGGCGATGCCAGACACATACAAAATTAAAGCCAGTTTTACATAATGAATCACCATATTGTCCCACAACCAAAATAGATCATGTTTGACCATTGGCAATAAAAGCTTCATAATCTGTTAGTCATTATTCAATCAGACGAAGAGCTTAATTGGACCTTTGTGAAAGTCAGCTGCAAAACTACCAAATGAATCGTATGTTTGTATGTTGGTAATCTGAGTAATGACCAAGTTGATACATGTCCCCCTAGTCAGAGAGAACAAAATAGGGTTCATCCTCAACGTAAATTTACAATCAGTTGACATTATGCCAAATGAAAGTAGTTAGTCTATAATGTCAAATTTACAGACCATAAACTGTTTTACTTTTTCAGAAGCTGTATACAACTGATGTTTAGTGGAGAGAGGTCTTGACACGAGCGCTCAAAATGGTCTTCATCATCAGCAGGAATGGTACTTCAAACACATATTTTCCAATTTTAATGACCCAGATCTGCAACAGCAGATACTCCCAACTATTACATTCGATTGACACTCACATTGCTATCTTTTAATGACGTTACGGATTTACATCACCCGTTTCTTTTACTATAAAAATGAAGATGAAAGTCAAATTAGTTTGAAGCGCAAGTGTTATAGCATAAAACCCCTTATCTCAAATTTCACTCTTGGATCTTTGCTGAAATTTATTTTGAAGTAATGATCGTAACAACCACTTCAGCACACCTCTCTACAAGTGTAAATTTGGCTAATTATCCTATATTTTTCCATCCCTAAGAGCAGAGAGTGATCATTCATTTTTTCAAAGTTTTAAGAACCTTTCTATACCACACACAACTTCTAGCTCTAGGCCATTTTACTTGTTTATATTCATTTTGTTTCCCGTAATGAGACTACATTGTGATGGAATTTTAGGTGCAATAGGTACAGCTGATTATGTTCATAATCGTTTGATCAATTTTCAATCTCATTTTGAAAAAGTGCTTTTCTGTCGTCTTGTTTTAGTTTTTTGTTTCACTTAATTGATTACATTATTGCCTAAAGTAGATGCACAGTATTACATATGTATGTTTCGGGGCTTTAAACGTTGATGTTAATTGTCCTTTGTGTTCCCCAATTGAATTGTCATATCGTCCCTTTATTAATTAGTTCATACAAGGAGTGATCAATAAGTAATTGGAGCTTTTTACACAGATGCTTCTTAT